TCATGTGTAAAGAGCACATCCCTCCCTTTGCTTCCTCCAACGTGATTACAAACAGGAGAGTGGAAAATGTCTAATGTCAGTTAATTATTATCATAATGGGACGAATCAAAGTTTAGTGGAACTATGACTGTCCAAAGAAGCTAACTCGAATGTGATTTGCAATTATGCTGATGCTGTAAACCGCTTAGAGAGGGCTATAAAGCACTGTGAAGCGGTATATAAGTCTAAATGCTATTGCTATTTAAACATATATTTAGTTACAATAATTACAATTACAAGCATACAATAATGCTCCTAGAAGTCATCCTTGACTTGTCAACTAAAAGGAGTAAAAAGCTGTCTTCTGAATTCCTGTTGGTATTTGGTTAATAATGCCAAAATTAAGTCCTTGAGTCAAGTGGATGAAATGGCCAATGCAGGAAAAAATGAACACCTGATTTGGCTTCCCCAATTGATAAGAGGCAGAGAAATGCTTGTAAAGGGATGAAGGCAGCACATCAAACCTAACTACACGAAAGCTCTCAAATATGATCAGCAAGGAATATTGGCGAGGTAGGAGGCTGTTGGAAAAGGAGTGCCAGAGCAATTATTGATAAAGCATCTATTATCCAAGACTTAATCCGGGATGAAAGTGCTGACCTGATGTGGGCTACGGAGAACTGGAATTAGTATAATTAATTTCTTAGATCTTTGTTTACCAGTCTAAGTTGTACTACAGCAAGCTAGACCTAGAAGGCAGAGAAGAAGAGAGGTACATATATACTTTCCAACTAGATACTTTGTCCAGAAGTCTGCTAATCCTGAAACCATGTTACCTTTGGTGAACAAGGCAGAGTTAGGGCAAGTTGTGGACATGTAATCTTGACAATGTTGGACTTGAGAAAGTGACAGGATCCTTGAGGCAATCAAGTTGTACCTTTATTTTGAATTGTTTTTTTATTTACACATCTTGAAGAGGTGGATATGATATGAGGAATCCTCATGCACTTATTTGCCCCATGCTCCTTTGGCTGATTAATTGGCCAGAAGATGGCTAGAGGAAAACTAAGAATGAATCCAACTATACATGGGTTCAGAGCTGCAGTTAAGGTGATCCTTCCTTGGGAAGAAGGGCTTGGATGATCACTTACAGGGCTGTGCAGAGGAATTAGTCAAATACCTGAAGGATAAAGTCACTTGGATCCATTCTAAGTTTGAGACTAAGCATGGAGCAGGTCCATTAGAGATTCCCAGGGAATGGACTTGCTCAATTTTCTGGGAACCTGAGGACCTGAGGAAGCTGGTAGGGTCGTTGGGGCTGTCAATGCAACTGCTGCTTATTAGAACCTTATCCCTTCTGGTTGGTAAAAGTCACCAGGATGCAGGTGGGTTCAGGCGGTGATTCATACATTGCTCCATGAAGGGTTGCTCTCAGCACAATTTAAGGAAGCCTTGGAATGCCCCCTCCTCAATAAACCATTATTGGACCCAACTTGTCTGGATGCTTTTCATCCAGTTTCCTATCTCCCCTTTTTAGTGAAAGTGGTGGAAAAGGGATTGTGTTACAGCTCTGGAGAGTCCAGGATGAAAATAGATTGTCTGGACCCCTTTCAGTCAGGTTTCAGACCAGATTATGCGACAGAAATTGTATTGGTTGCATTTGTGGATGATTTCTGCCAACAGCAGGCTAAGGGTAATGTATTCATCTTTTCTCTTGGTGGCTTTCAATACCATTGATTTTAGTAGTCTTTTGGGCTGGCTATGGGGTTTGGGGCTGGGTAGCACAATATTACACTGGTTCAACTCTGTTCTCCAAGGCTGGTCCAAGTTGGTGTTGATAGGGAGCATGAGGTCCAGCCCATAGCCACTCCCTTGTGGGATGCCACAGGGCTCAATGCTCTCTCTGACCCTGTTTAATATCTACATGAAACTGATGAGTGAGATCATTTAACATGAAATGAGATATCATCAGTCTGCTGATGATATAAAACTTTACAACTCCATTTCTGGTGATCCAAGAGATGCTGTGACCGACCTTAGTTTTATATAATAATATATACTAGCCATTTCTTTAACAATAAATCTAGCTAATCTGGAAAAACCAAAAATCAAAGTTTTAATACTTGTTTTTTTCTTTTCCCCTTTACCCTACACCAGGAGTGTCAAACGCAGGCCACATCCACCCCAGCTCTGTGAAGGCAAAACATGTCACAATACGTCATAGCATGGCATAGAACCGAGGCGGAGGAGCAGGCCCACCCATGATTTCTGCTATGGGTTCGCTTGAACCGGTATGAACCAGCTGAATACCATCTCTGATTAGAAGTCTATCTGTTCTATATTTTACATTAATTGCAACTTCTGAACACTTTTCAGCATATAGAATACGTTACATTAGTTAAGGTAGGGTGCTACCAAGTTGTGGATAACTCTTGCTAAATTCAAGTGAGTCAGGAAAGAGTCTTTATCATAACCACCATAGTTATAGACTACTAATCAGAGATGGTATTCAGCTGGTTCATACCGGTTCAAGTGAACCCGTAGCAGAAATCATGGGTGGGCCTGCCCCTCCGCCTCGGTTCTATGCCATCCTATTTAGGCAAATTTTTGAGGCCAGTGCATGCGTGGAAGGCTGGGCACAAGCACGGAAGACATGTGTGTGCACAAAGTGAGCGTGTACGCTGGGGGCGAACCGATGGTAAGAATATTGGAAACCCATTGCTACTTCTAATCTATGAAAGATTAGAGATATTGTGCCTGCAATGAAAGCTCTGTATTGGTTACCTATTACTTACCAGGATGAATTTAAGGCATCTAAAACCCTAAACAGATTCAGGCTCCCATTATGAATTTATCTAGTTGTTAACAGATGCAGGAGAGACTCTTTTGGAGATATCTCTGCTGTTCAAGGCTATCATTCTAGCATCTGGAGGGAACTTTCTCCTCCATTGCCTGCAGGCTATGGAATGCCCTTCCTTAAGAGTTGTTTGATCTTCGCTCTCTCACTGCTCAGAAAAATCTGTAATGATACATATCTTTTGCTGGTCTTTTGGTATTTATTTTATTGTTTTAATATCTAAGTTAAACTTTTCATATTGTTTATGCTCTTTAAAATTTTGCTAGCCATTTTTGCACACTTACCAACCAGGGAGGCAAAATACAAATTGAATAAATGAATAAAAACTCCGTCCTCAGCACCTGCTTGAGAGTTTGAGAGACTTTGGTATAATGGCTAATCTATAAAGTGCTGGACTAAAAAGTTGGAGACACTTACTTGTAGTATTAATCCTTCCTTAGACATGAAAACCAGCTGGCTTACTTTGGGCCAGTCACTTTCTCCTAGCCTAATTCATTTCACAGGGTTGTTGTGGGGAAAATACAAGAGAGGAACATTATGTATGCTGCCTTGAGTTGTACAAATAAAGGCAGGATATGAATCAAATAAATACCTAAATAAATAAATGTTCAGCAGATTTCCTGATGTACTTAATTATAATTCCCATATGGGGAAGGTTTAATCCTCACAACTGGAGGGAAACTGTATGATTGCAGAAGACCAACAATCAAAGCAATATTTTTGTATCATTGTCTCAAGGCTAGCTATGATTATTTCTAATTTGTTTACTCCAGATCTATGGTGGAGCCAATGGCTGAAAGGGGGGGGGCAGCTTTACATGAATAAGGAGAAATTCCAGTTTAGAGTTTGTTCAGAGGAGGAAATGTCTGAAATCAAACCCTTAGGTGTATATATCTGCCATTTCCCAAGGGAAGGTAGACAGCCTGGCGAGATTCTTGTAATACAGGTGATCAACAATAGAGTATCTATTTGGGCCTCTCTGTGAGTGATTCTAGTTTTTTGCACTTGACAAGATCCACCTTTTACAATCTCATACAAAGATATGCAGGGGGAGTCGAGCAAATGCTAAAAGTATCATTGTATTTCAAGTCCTGCCCCTTTTGGAAAAGCATTGTGATCTGTTTACCTTCTGGGAGAGGCAGAATATCTAGATTCAGTCACAGTTTTAACAGATTAACAGAGTTGGAAGGGACCTTGCAGGTCATTTAGTCCAACCCCCTGCCCAAGCAGGAGACCCTTCATCTGCCTCTACCTAGGATTGAACTCAGAACCTCCTGATTGTGAGGCAAGAGCTCCACCTCTAGGCCACAGTATCAACCTTGTGAACTCTCAGGTTTCCTCTTTCCACTTTGTATTCAAAATGTACAAATATATATGTATGTATGTATGTATGTATATATGTATGTATGTATGTATGTGTATATGAGTAGGCAACAGAATTCCATTTTTAATGTGTGCCAGTGTGGTCACAATAAAAAATGACAATTAAAATTATCTTATCTCATCTCATTTAATCTCATCTCACCTTACCTTATCTCAGCTCATCTTATCTTATTATCCTGTCCTCTACCGTACCGTACCGTACCGTACCATCCCATCCTATTTCATTTTATCATCGCATCTTATCTTATCATCCTATCTTATCTTATACTGCACAAACATAGAATGTGTGCAGCACAATGGTGAGGTGTTGCTTTCATCCTTTGGATGAAAATATCAGATCCTGCAGATGCCTTTACAATGATATACCGTCATTCTGTGTTCCTCTTGCTGAGTCAGAATGACAAGGCTGAACTCATTTTCCTTGTCTGCATATCTGCGTATGTTCACTTTCATCTGTGCAAAATGAACTTGTCACTACAGGTTCACCCTGGCATGTGGCAGGTTCCCTCAAGGGTGTAGAGAACACAGATGCAACCTCAGTTCCAACAAACCTCGGTTCTTTCCCTCCAGCTGAACCCTTTTCCTTACATCCTAGCAAGGGTTCAGATTCATGTTATTCTCAACAATGGCATTGGTTCTAAACGTTGAGGTGAAATCCTTGAAGTATGAAGTCATCCCAAATGAAAGACAACATTTAGAATCTAGGCTTTAGACAAGAAAAGGACAGAGCAGAAATCCAAACAGAGAAAAGGAGGGGGGGGGAAGGGAAAATTTGACTTACCTTGAGTCAAGAGAAGCGCTATATAAAAAGAAATAAAAAAGAAAAGGAAGGAAGAGACAGAGTTATTATTTTCTGTATGACAGGTTTATAAACATTTTGCATATAACCGTGTTAAATAATAATGAGCTTGCTTGAAGTAAACAATGGCTTTTTGGTAGCCTCATGGTAGAAGCAGGTTTGTAAGCATGTGTGGGAGCCACAAAATGGAGATGAAGCTGTATCAAACAGGTGCAATTGTAAGGGTTTCAGAGGTTCCCCCTTTCCCTCAGGAACCAAGGTGCAGGCAGTAGGGTGGGAAGGACAGGACTTGGAGGTGAGGATTGTGGAGGCAATCAACGTAGAAATTTGCAACACAAGACCAGAATCTGGGGCACATCTAGTGGCTTTTTTTGTGGGGGGGGAGGGTTGTCTTTGAGTCAGTGTGGATGTCTGCCTGGATTAGTCCCTGCAGTTTTCTTGGCAAGATTTTTGGAAGTGGATTGCCCTTGCCTTCTTGCTAGGACTGGAAGGAGCTACTGCCAAGGTCATGCACCTAGTTTTGTACCTAAGATGGGACTAGAACTTATGGTATCTGGGTTTCTAGCCTGATTCCTTAACCAGTACTGGCACTTAGCTACTGGCCTAGGGAAAGTATTTCTACCATTTAAAACTCTTTCAATTGGCTACACCTAAGGAAGCAACTTTGGTTTCAGTAAAAATGAATAAGGAAGTCAGACAGATGCAATGATTCATACTTAGAAATTGAATTCGTATCACCCTAGCTGAATTACTGTCACTCAATGGGGAATGAAATATCACCTTACCTACTTTGTAGAGCTTTCCTACCACAACTTTATGGGTTTATAACAACTAGCTTCCAGTAACTCCTAGATAGCAAGAAAGGAATAAAAAGAAATCTCTAATTGATTGCTGCCATTTTGTGTTCATCCAGATTTTTTCAGTCCAGTTTTGGCAGATGTACTCATTTAACAATAGTGTGAAGTGGAATCCTTAGTGCTCTCTGAGCTTGTTTGTTTTCTTGCAGATATTTCATTATTCAGTAGTAACATCTTCAGTGCTAGAAGAGTGTGAGGCTTGCTCTGTATTTATATTCAGTAACTTGTCCAGTCTATGTTGGTGGGGATGTAGATTTTTCTTTGGTAGTTCCTTGATTAGGCTGTTATTTACCACTTGATTGTCTGCTGTTGCTTCTTGTATCAATCCCTGCTTATCTGGGTATTGATTCATGGCAAGGAGGTGTTCTGATCTTTTTGTTTTCTTTTTAGTTTTTTTATTGTATTTTTTGAAAGTTGTCTAGATATGGTTTATCTCTATGATTTTGTTCATGTTGATCTGTCTGAATACCAAGCTTTTGGGAATTCCCTAATTTAGCTTGTATCTACCGTGTTTCCCTGAAAATAAGACCATGTCTTATATTTTTTTGAACTCTGAAATAAGCACTTGGCCTTATTGCCATGCACTCAAAAGCCTGATTGGGCTTATTATCAGGGAATGTCTTATTTTGGGGGAAACAGGGTAGTATGCTCATAGTTTCCCACCTGAAACTATGGTGAAGTATGTCCAAATGTTTATTGTGTCTTCTGATTGCTGGTTGGTGTTCATGGATGTATTCTGCTAGTCTTCTGCTTATCTGTCCTACAGAGTGGCTGTTATATCACTCACACTGTATATTGTAGATGAATCCTGTTTTTTGTTCTTGGGTTACTGGGTCTTTTGGTTTACTTAAGATATTTTGGAGAACTTTAGTTAGTTTATGTACAACCATTAGTCTTTTGGTTGTTTCTGAAATACAGGGAGTGCTATCCTTTTCATAGCTTATGTTGGTTGTACTCTAATAGGTTGAGCGAGCAGTAATTTTTTTTATAAACTTAAGTGGGTATTCATTTTGTTAGAAGATATTATATAGGTGATGTTTCCTTTTTTGATGTTCTGGGTAGTGGTAGTGCATTTGTGCCCATCTGAATAATAGCAATAGCACTTACAGCTTTATAGTGCTTTACAGCCCTCTCTAAGCAGTTTACAGAGTCATCATATTGCCCCCAACAATCTGGGCCCTCATTTTACCAACCTCAGAAGGATGGAAGGCTGAGTCAACCTTGAGCCTGGTGAGATTCGAACTGCCAAATTGCAGGCAGCCAGCAGTCAACAGGAGTAGCCTGCAGTACTGCACTCTACTGTCACTGTGGCTCATAATGTTCTTACATAGCTTCTTTTTGTTGGTAATGGAGCACTTGGTTAGTATGGGTGGGTTTTACGATAGATTTGTGTTTCTAATTTGCTGCCATTTTCACTGCTGATGAGGATATCCATGAAGGGGATGCCCTCAACAATGACAGGGCAAGCTTTCTATATATAATCAGAAAGCAAAACCCATTAATGAAATGTTTTCAAGAAAACAACCAAGCTCGGAGAGCACCAAGAACAACACAGTTCAATCCTGAGCTACAAATATTGTTTTCTATTGGTAGAAGTGAAGTTTCACTTATAACAGTTCCTAGACATGAATAAATTTTATAATAGGGCCCTAAATGTAAGAATAATTGATGCCTTTCCCCTAACCTATTGTCTAAACTTTTTAAAAGTTCCACAACTTTGAAGCAAAAGGAAATTTAAACAAATCTGTGCTCCTGGCCTCTTGAGATCAAGAGATAAGATGGATGGCTACAGAGAATAGTATTGCTTTTAATTTTAAACTCTGAACTGTCAGTTTATAGTTTTGGTCTATGAAAGCTGATTACAGTAACTAGTTCATTCTAAATCAGTCAAATAGCTTGATTAGTATTCAAGAAACAACTTGAATACGAATCCTAAAAGTCTCTTCTTCTGTTCTTTTAATTTCTATTTGCTAATTGATAGTATGCTTCTGTCAAGAATATTTTATTTGCAGTATTTTTAATTTTGATTAGAAATGATCTTTTAAGTGTTCGGATTTCTAATTAAATCTCATTGTACTATCTTCTATTTCATATATCTCAATGTAACTCTTAGCATTTTATTTTCTAAGAATTAATTTCTTACGTTTGTGCAATTATTTCTAAAGACAACTATCTTAACTTCTAAATTTATTCCGATTTGTACTCGTTTCTATATTTGCCTATGGTTCAGAAAGAAGAATGAAACATTTGTTTGATTCTTAGAGAAGAATCTGGAGAAGTATCACCGTTTGGAATAAAAAAATACATCGTCTCTATAAAAACGAGCTGCCAGTGTGAAATAGGAGCTGAACTTTGTCCTTTAGTTTTACAGATTTGCCCTATAATTTATAATCTAATTTCAAGGAGACAATGCATATGCATTGTCTCCGACGTATTCTTGGCATTACCTGGCAGGACAAAATTCCAAATAGCGCAGTTTTGGAACGTGCTGGAATTTCTATCATGTATACACTATTGAAACAGTCTACGCTGGCTGGGGCATGTTGTGAGAATGGCAGATGGTCGGATTCCAAAAGATCTCCTGTATGGAGAATTAATGCAAGGAAAGTGCCTCAGAGGGAGACCACAGTTGCGATATAAGGATATTTGCAAGAGGGATCTAAAGGCCTTGGGAATGGACATTAATGACTGGGAAAACTTGACCTCTGATTGTTCAGCTTGGAGGCTAAAGACGCAGCATGGCCTTCTCCAATTCAAAGAGACACTTGTTTGGCAGGCCGAGGCAAAGAGGCAGTCCCGGAACCAGCGGAATCTGGGGGCTGGGCAGGGGACAGAATGTATCTGCCCTCAGTGTGGAAGGGATTGCCACTCTCAAATTGGCCTTTTTAGTCACACCAGATGCTGTTTTAGAACCTCTTTCCAGAGCACGATACCATAGTCTTTTGAGACTGAAGGTTGCCAATGATGATGGAATTTCAAGGACAAGAGAAAACCTAATCTATACCATACTATTTCACTTAATACTATTCAGTGAAATCCATACAGGCTGCATGACTTAACTGGCCTGGCCAATTGCAACTGAAGAATCTGACTGCTGCTTCGGGCTTCACAGAAGTTTATGAGTTGAGCTGGGAAGCTCTGAAGAATAGCATTGCAAGGAACGGCTTTTAAAAATAAGCCTGAATCTCACTGTGGTTGTTGACCTTGAATAAATGACATCTTCTACTAACAATGCTGCATGAGTTTTCCACAGAAATGCCCATTAAAGAAGAGCCTAGTATTTAGAACCTAACAAGTATACTGAATAAACAGAATTCGGAATTGTTAATGATACCCTTTTAAATACATTCACTTTTGTAGGGCTATTTAATACTTGCTTAAGGCAGCAGCAAAAGACTATTTGGATAGTAACTGTGTTGGACTGTACCTTTAACATGGCAGGAGGAAATTCAGGATGGAACTACATTTGACAGGGCTATTTTCAAATATAAAATGAAGGCAGGGATGTCATGTTTTTGCAGTATAAATTAGAGGCAGCCCATCTAGTATGCTCCAGATTTTGTGGACTTCAATTCCTATTAGTCTGAACCAGCATAAGCAATGACAAGGGGATTGTCTAGATTCTAGAATATCTGGAAGACATTGGATCTGCCTCAGCTGGCATCCTATATCCCTCAAACCAGTTTATTGGGGGCATTTTTCTGCTTTCTAGCTTTGATATTAGAAATCTGGGAGGGGGAGAGGGGGAAACACTAATTGAAGCAAATGACTGGAGAAAAGCACCAGGAGAAAAAGCTTATTTTCTCCCCCTGGGCTTTGGCTTGTGCTCCTTGCTACAAGTGTGGCCTCAAGAGAAAACATTAATCTCCTGAAGGTCTGAGATCTCTGACTACCATTTGTGCTTCAGTCTATTAAAAGAGTGCTCATCCCTCTTTCACTTCTAATGTAGTGCATGAATATTTGAAGAATTCTATGAACTAAGATTCAGTAATATAGAAAAGGGATTTTAGCTTTTTATCGGGGGATGGACACTGCTCACAGAAGCAGGAAAATGGCTTTATGGGCCGCAGCTTTCTTTGCTATAATAAATAGCTGAACCAGGGTAACTCAATTCCAGCTTGTAATAGACCTTATGAGTCCAAGCTTGGAGTCTATTAAAATAATTGGCACATTCTTCTCAACACTCATTAGTGCATCTCTGTCCCAAAGACACATCATTCAAGATGTGAGAAGACAAAACTGCATGAGACCATAACAAGGCATGTAACATTAGCCTAGGGAAAGATGATCCAACATTTCTACAGCTCATCAACTTCCTCTTTGGTTGTTTCAGTTCCCTTAGTCAGAATGTACATTGTTCACCATTGGTGTGAGAGGAAGAAGTTTGGCCCTCAGAATCACTTTGATTATAATTGTGTTTGTGTATGGATGGTGCACATTTGTAAAATGCCTTGTGATATGCTTTCTCTGCCATTACCCACTTTTCTGGTATAGTGGACATCTGCTTATCCCCTATGCTTTTGGTATTCCATGAGGCTGTTAAGACTTGGCTGTTTCAGCAAGTCTTTGAGATCTGAAATAACTTCTCCTGCCAACCTAACAGTTCGAAAGCATGTAAAAAATGCAAGTAGAAAAATAGGGACCACCTTTGTTGGGAATGTAACACTGTTCCATGCGTCTTTGGCGTTTAGTTATGCCGGCCACATGACCACAGAGATGTCTTCGGACAGCGCTGGCTCTTCGGCCTTGAAACAGAGATGAGCACCGCCCCCTAGAGTCAGGAACGACTAGCACATATGTGCGAGGGGAACCTTTACCTTTTATAGGGAAATAGTTTTGACCATGGTACTTCCCAGTGCTAGTTGTTGTTGAACTAATTCATACTGTTGTTATTGTTGCTATTATAATGATTTTTAAAAAATCTTTTTAATGATGAGTAGATGAGGTAAGTAAACCTGTTGGAGACCTTTATTGATTGGAAAGGTGTCTAAGCCCAGTAAATTAAAAACTGGCTCTGTTGGAAGGCCTTCAGGGACTGTGGAGCCATCAGTGCTTATATACTTGTTTCTGTAATTTTAATGTTTAAAAGTAATATATTATTTATCAAAGTTATTTTAATATCAATAAACTACTTAAAGTCCACTAGGATTGGGGTGGCCGATAAACTGCACAAGTAAGCAAACAACCAAACCACTTCTGGCCTCTGTTTCCAGTGAAACACCATCTCAGTGGAATGGATAATATATAAAACACTGTCCTCCTTTCAAATAGTATCAGCATCTTCACATGACTAAAATGGCTTAAAACTCACATTAATGTGAACTGTTGGTAGATGTACAAAGTTCACATGAAAATTTCCAAGTACCCATGATGTGCGTGGGCTGCTGGTAGTAGAGTGTTGGGATGAAAAGAGAGAGAGGTGAACTCAGAAATTTGGAGTATAAAAGGATTTCAAAAAAAGATGGAAATTTACAAATAAGGAATCATCAGAGTAACCTAATTTGGGTTCTGAAAACCCAACAAAGAATGGCTGGTAACAAACTTTCCAGCTCAAAAAGAAGGGATTTGGTATTTAGATTAAATGCCTCAATGCTAAGTAACAATTAGCTGCATTGTAACTTTGGACAATTGTTCTGTAGTGCCCTTGAATGAAGAATAGTCCGGAATAAAACATAAAGCCAATGAAAGAAGCAATAGCAGTATGCTGCTGTAACAAGAGCTATTATTTCTTTGTTTTCAAGAGTATTAGCTCCATAGTTCTGAAGCATCGGTGTTATACCATCTTCCTTGAAAAAACTAAAATAGAAAAACTAAATAATCTGAATATTTTGTACAATGTATATTATGAAGCATTTTTTACTGATCTACAGTATGTTTAATTTCTAAGCATTGTTATAGGCATCTTTTTAATGAGCTTTATTTGTTCACATTTTGTGAAGATGAATGCAAAATATATGAAAGTCCACTAGACCTTTGTTAATGTGACCCATTAGAGAGAAGAACTGTTGTTTAAAGATTCTTGAAATATGCAAGGTCAGACACAAAATCTCTGGGATCCACAAATGGGTTAACAAACTCAGCAAAGGCAGCTGAAGACAGATTTCCCCAGGCTTGTGGTTCTCCAAATATATTAGACTTCTAGAATTTGCAGCCAGCGCGGCCCTTCTGGTGAGTGGTTCAACACATTTTGGTAGGCAGCAAGTTAAGGTAGATTCCCTCAAAGCATGCTTTGACTTCCATCTTGGAAGTTCTTTGTTTCTGTAATGCCTGTATGTCCAGAACAGGAAAACTCATCCAGGCCGTCTTGCCATAGCTGACTCACCTGGCCAACTCACTGCAGCCAATTCACTGTGGGACAATTTGCCCCACAGTGGGACAACTTCAGTGTGGGATAACTGAAGAGAGGGAATTGCAGCTCACTCCAGCCTTGTGAATGTCTAACTTGAGAAGGTCCAAACCTAAAGCAATACAAGGTCTGCTGCAATTCACTTATCCTTCTCTTGAGTTTTCCTGGGTTGAATTATCCGTGGTGAGTTGGCTGCAGTGATTTGTCCTTCAGCGAGTTGGCCAGGGCGAGTCGGCTGGAATGAGATGGCAGGGCGACTTCTCCTAGGTCCTGTATGTCTTTACTGAAACTCTGAGGAAGTGCTTCCTAACATGAGTTCTATGAAGTTATATTATAAAGTATTTTGGTCCATTTGGAGATTTCTTTTTTTGGCAGGGAATTAATTGCAAACATTCTTGGCTGTTACTGTTGGCAGCATTTGTTAAATCTGACTCCAATATGTACATGTCTATATCCATATATATTTATATAAAAAAATAATCAGTAGCTAATATTAATTACAAAGCTGTAATTAATGAAGAGAATAAAAAAAGACAGGGATCATTGTGCAAAGTTCAGAACTGGGGAGCAAGCTGGAGAGGCAGCCATGCAGTTTAACACATTCTTCTGCGAAAAGGACTTTCCATCTTGGGATAAGAAAAGGAGACAAGATTACATCAAAAATATGACCCAAGGAACACAGGGGGAAAAAGGAGAGCAAAGAGAAAGGGGAGGATCCAAATGCACGGAAGTTCAAACAGTCTGTCAGGCACAAGCACTGCACAAAAGGAGGATCTTAAGCTAAGCTCAAAAATGCAGAGATGGGACCGAAACAGGGTGAGAGCGAGAATATAGGATAGAATAAAACTTGGTCTGTGTAAAAATCAAAGAGAAAAAGGCGGAGCAAAAAAGGTGGTTTTTGCAAGCTGCATTTGCTTGGTTTCTTTTTTCAAAAAAAGGATCTCACACCTGATATTCCTCGTTCCATCCATTTCGGTTCACCAAGGACAATGAAGAAAGTCTCCTGCCTTTCGTATTCCTCCTCATCTACTATTTTAACCCTTATGGTCTTCCTGTAGGGACAACAAGAAAAAGATGGGTGTACAGTGGGTAGCCTGGTTGGGAGCAAATTCAGCAGCAGCGGTCGACACTACTACTACCCCTACCACCACACCTTCTCACATGCAGCCTGCTTCTGCCACTGTCTTGGTGGTCTTTCACTTGCTTTCTAGGACATATCAGTTGGAGCTGATCTTTAGATGAATTAGAGAACATTAGAGGAAGGAAGGAAGGAAGGAAGGAAAGGAGGAAGGGGCAAAGAGTGAGGAAGAGGAACCTGGTCTATAGTGATGGTTAGTGGAAGGTGACCTCTGCAGCACATTTAGTCAAATGTCACATGGTAATAACAGTTCATCAACTGGCTGAATCCAGAACAGCCTACAGGTAGAGATGGGACAAGCATCTTTAGCGTATTAGATAAAAAGCCAATTTTTCTCTGCCTTGAACAGTGGGTGGAGAGTGCAATAAGACAGAATTAAAATATCCTTTTAACATACACACACACACGCATGCACAAACTCATGCACAAAACATAGCCAGGATTTTCCCATCTAGATCTTTTTCTCTGCAAAGGCAATTTGGTTTCTTTCCCCATACTTGATACAGTATTTTTTTTTTTTTTTTACTGAGAATTGATAATTCATTTTTGCTGACTGAACTGCTCGGTGCTTATGAAATTCAGTGTTATAAGGGTATGGGCAGAATACAATACAACCTATGTGAGCATCGTGCAATGCCACGAAAGACACCCTTATAAAAATGAAGTTGCAATTCTATACCCATTTAGCTAGGAGTAAATCCTATCAAACTCAGTGGCATTCACGTTTACATCAACATGCCTCAGAATCACTCAGAAACTTTACTTCCTCTTCTTTTCTTACCTACTTTTTTAAAATATACGAACATGAAGAATGACAAAGAATGAATACTAATGGTTTCCCATTTTTCCTTAGAAGTTATCTGTTTATATTGATTGGGTTTCTATTTGAGACCCTGGACCAGTTCTAACACAATCTCTGTTGTTATTTTCTCAAGGAATCCTAATTATTTCCTTCAATTTATAGAAAGTGCCACAAAAGAGCTAGATCCTGATATATGCATGTATCCTCAAAACATCGAGAATTGAAATATAACATTAAATTAGCTTTTTAAGCCAAGGAAGAACTCCTCATATAACTTGCAGAATGGTGAGAAAACTTGAATGTATTTTTAGGATTAACTGCGATTCTCAGTTTTCATGTATTGTCACATGTAGATTGATTGGAGCCAATTTTTTTTCAAATCTCTCTACACAGTCAATGAAAAAGCATTTATGGGAAAGAGATTTTGGCAAAAAAACAAAACAAAACCCTACAACTGTACGCATTCTACTTCTCCATATGCTGTTGTCAGCAGCCTCCATATCAATTGGCCACACAGACGTCAGGCTAATATCAAAATAAATGTGTGATTCTGAAGGAACATTCTTGAGTGGTTCGATGAAAAAATATTTTTTGTTCCAAGACTTCGTGCAAAATGTAGGGGAGGGTAATGTGACTGGGTGGGCGTGGCCAATTTTATTTATTTTTTACTTTTAAAAGCATTTTTTCTACAACCTCTTCAGCGAAGAGGTTGTAAAAAAATGCTTTCAAAAGGCTCTGACGATCCCAGCTGAATTGCCTGATCGGCAGAGGCTTTTTTTCTTTTAAATGCCTCTGCCAATCAGGCAACTCAGGTGGGCTCATCAGAGGCTTTTAAAAGCCTTTGATGATCCCAGCTGAGCCGCGCGATCATCAGAGGCTTTTTTTTTAATTTTTAAAAGCATTTTTTTCGGCTGAAGAGGTTTTAAAAGTAAAAAAAAAGCCTCTGATGATCAGCTGGGCATGGAGGTGGGCAAGGATTTCTCCAAGCCACCCACCTCCATCGCTACCGGATCGGGCAATCCGGTCCGAACCGGGAGCATTTCACCCCTGATATATACAGTATGTATGTGTGACTGTATATATATAAACACACACACACACACACACACACACACACACACACACACACACACATATATATATGCCGCTACTGGAGGAACTGAGCCAAGTGATTATCTCTTTGCCAACTCTATCTCTAAATAAATAGCTTTTAATTAGAGGAAATATTTAGTCCCCTTCCATGGTACATTGAACCCGCATAGATTTGAAGTTAAAATGCCAAATGAGTTTAAAGGGAAGACAAGAACGATATGTTAGCATGTTGGTCCATTGATTCATAAAACATCTTGTTTTGTACAGAAAAATGAATAACCATTTTCTTTTGCAAGGCAAGAAAGTATTATTAGTGTGCAGATCTTGGGACAATGATAGGTGTGCTAAAAGCAAGTTGAGCTCGAAGCCTTCCAATATGCATATAAGTTTGCATCATGCTGCAGGGTTGAGCTCTATGGCTATTTCTGTAGTGTTGAAGATGGATTTGAAAACCCCAGTGCCCTGTTATTTCAAGAATACGCATTGACATCCTTCAGTGAAATCAGCACACACACACACTTAAACACTGCATTCTCAGCTAAACAAAGCACCATCTTGCTAACTTCCATCAGTACCATGTGACAGGCTGTGCAGATACAGCAGTGTTAAGGATAGAGCAGTTGGAAAATTAAAAAAAAGAGGCCATTGATAGCGAGAAAAGAAAGGTAGGAAATAAGAAAAAGAGGAAAGAAGAATGTTAATGTTAGTTGGGAGAGCCAGTACTACACCTTTCTGTAAACTCAAATCCATCATTCGAGGACCCATCAGCTCAATGAAGAAAGTCTTGTTTTTTTCATACTCCTCATCATCAATTACCTTGATGTGAATAGTTTTGCTGTGAATGGAAAAATAATAACTGTCATAATGGGGAGAAGGGGGTGAGCAAGCTGGGCAAAAGAGGGAGAAAAGAGAGAATTTAAATGGTCAAAGCTTACTCACCCATTATGAAAAAAATAAACAAACCAACCAAAAGAATTTTAATTTTTATATCGTGGCTGGCTAATCTGGAAGAGCATTTGCATAGAGAATGGAAGCAGATTCTTAAAAAAAATATTCCAACAATAACATCTCAGATATCCAGTGATATCTAGAATTCTATTGGCAGCTTTCACATTTAATTAAAAACAGAAATACATACAATATCTGTATTTATACAAGCTGTAATTTATGGAATGCATACTGTGTATTTAAGGTGTTCTTAAGTAATTTGATGCAGCTTTAAGCATTTTTGCTTTACTAGAATATTAAAAAGCATATTCGTTCTCTCTCTCTCTCTCCCTCCCTCCCTCTTATCTGTCTTCTAATCTCCTAACAACCTAATGCTTTTTTTCCCTTAATAACTGAAAAGTTGAGATAGGTATGCCACAATGATTGTGATAGAACACTTTCCCAACCTACCCAACAAAAATTATTCTGAAAAGCTACCGTTTTGTTTTTCAAAAGAAACCTCCAGGAGCCATTCTAACATGGAAGAGAAGACTAAAATACCTCCTTCCTACCTTCTTCAGTCCCAGTGCTGTTCAGCCTTCCACAATGACTGCTATTTACAGAATAAAAAGTGCACATCAGTTGCACAAATTTGCACATTGCACTAAGCCATAATCTGGGTTGGGTTTACTATGGTGTATATATACTCACCCATTAAGATGTGTGAACTGTGATTCATGACTAGCACTGAGGATGTTACCTAGTTTCAGAAATGAAACAGCTAGAAGAAAACAACCAAGCTCAGAGAGCACCAAGGACACCTCACTGTGATTTATGGCTTGCTATTCAGTGTGAAATGAGCCACTATACTCTTGGCTTGGAGAGATATCTGCCTCAGGCATCCCAGTGGCGTTTTGTGGTATACCAACCACATTTGTGCACAGATATTCAGTAGCAAAACCATCAATGTTTATGGATGCTATTTTTTTTAACCTTATCTATATATGGTAGTTTTATATACTACACAGACTCCGTAAGGATTCCCAGCTCTGTTTACAAAGTTGCATGAATTTAGCCAACTAACAAAAATAAATACATGAGATTAAATATAATATCTATCCACCTTGGTGTCCTCAACCTTATGATCTTGACAGAAATGAATTACCAATTATGAGCTCTGTTGGCACAGTGGTTAGAATGCAGTACTGCAGACTACTTCTGCTGACCGCTGGCTGCCAGCAATTTGGAAGTTCGAGTCTCACCAGCTCAAGGTTGACTCAGCCTTCCATCCTTCCAAGGTTGGTAAAATGAGGACCCAGATTGTTGGGGGCAATATGATGACTCTGTAAAACCTCTTAGAGAGGGTTGTAAAGCATGTGAAGTGGTAGATAAGTCTAAATACTATTGCTATTCCACAAAGATAAAACAAATGGTTTGGTATGAATTCAGCCTCCAAATGCCACTTGTTTGACTTTCATACAATCAAGATCCATTAGAGTTAATGTAAAATGTTTTGGTGGAGTGGTTTGTGATTATCTACTTCATCCTCCACATTGATTGTATTTCCTATTAGTTCCCCAAACAAGTTTCTAACTACCAGTATGTCCAAATTTGTTTACTTTGTTCAAAATCAGCAAAGCCTGGTTCAATGCTTATAAAACTTTACTGCCTTCAAAAGCTATCAGACAATGAAAGCTAATTATGATAAAGCTGCATTTATGTATTAGAAAACCAGCGTACTTTCAAAGTGTCCATTTCCCCCTAATTATGGCATTATTTTAACTCCATGTTCTTTCTTTTGAAAATAGCAAAAGACTAAATAATCTACCATCTCTTGTATGTTGGAGTTATACTACTAAGAATTCTTAGCAGCACAGCTTTTTCCGTCTCAGTATATCAATAAGTTGGAGCAGGCTGGTTTATCAGTGTGATATTCAGCTGGTTCTATCCGGTTCGAGCGAATCAACCCCCCACCCGCCCATCATCACGTCCCATTTTTGATGCTCTGTGCATGTGCAAAGGTGTCATGCGCGAGCGAAGCATGCTCACGTTTGCGAACTGGTAGCGAAGGTAAGTCAATACCACCCCTGTGG